TGTTATGCCAAGTACTAAGCTAAACTCCCCTCCACTTAACCCATTCCAACTAATGTTATTTTAGCTCATTCAACTTACATAAACTATCCTTAATTTTATCGGTTGAATTTCAACCGCTGGGCGAACACTAGTTTGAATAAATCCATTTACTTAATTTTAAAGTAAATTATCGGTAATCGGCCGAATAATAGATCCATACCGAACGTTCGGTTCGACTTCGGCCTCGGTCGAAAAATCTACCTTCGGTCGGACTCTAAATGGCACTAAATAGAATTTGTTGCGATCAACTAGAGCAGCGACAACAATAACAAAAACAGCAGCTTAAGAAGCATGCAATCTATAGCAGATTAACCAGTGCATTATGCCGACAACAACAATAATAGCAGCAAACAATAATCCGGCCTGGAGACCATATAGCCTAAGAAATGCATACTTAAGTCCAACGAACATTTCGGGGGCATTCTACATGCATACAGCAAAATTTGTCCTTTGCAACTATGGGAGAAGATCTCATTTACTGGTATGGGCATATGCATGTACATACATACATACATATGTATGCATGTAAATGGTATGTTTGCGTGCATTAATATTTGTTGCATTCGGTGTACCACTCATGATTATCCTGCTCTAAAATTCGGGCTTGTAGGGCTTGTCACTTGCTTTATGCCAGCCAGCCAGCATTGTCTTATTCGACTGGTACGACACATACTCATATGCCATATATGCACGCACATATGTATGTATGTATATACAATCTAAGCATTCTGCATGTTAGTTGGCTTAATGTTGCTTAGTATTCTGTGGCATGTCGCATATTAGAGCGCACGTCATTAGTTGGTTACTACATTGGTCACTCGGCTATAAGTACTATATGTAAGTGTTGCATGATTGCAATGACATTTATCTACTCACAACCTAGTTGTTCCCATGAGATCAACCCTAAGCTATGTATGTATGTATGTATGACTGCCTATCCATTTCTGGGCCTTTCTGTGTGTTTTTGGGATTTTGTTTTTGATCTTAATGACCATTAACTAAAATGTGTGACACTTTTGATTAAATGAGCGCTTGGAGTACATAGCACTTAAGCTGGGTGGGAAATTTGCATTGAGTTAGTAATTATTGATTAAGATTTGCCGTACATTTAATTAAATATTTACATACATATGTAAATATGTAGGTACTTATATATTTACATAGTATATGATTTTGGGTAAATGTTAGATAAATCAAATAATTTTGCTTAGCTACATATTTTAAATATTTGTGTACTGCTTCTGCAAACAACAATACGAAATTCTAATTAGTATTATTATTTGTTTTCTTACAGGTAATTGTGTATCACTTTAGAAACTGTTGGCTAGTATTAGTGATAGCACAGGTAAGTGAGATAATGTCTTAAAATTTTGGGTAAAATGAAAGAATTTAAAAATACTGAGGATAACTTAATAAATTACACAGTGTAACAAAAAGGAGGTATATGTCCCCATATTTGATGAAATCGAAAGTAAATGGCAGTTTACACCTCCCAGAAAAAATCGCAATATGATTTTTAGCCTATTGATCTGTTTTTTTTACACGTAGGTGATTTTTAAATTCTGGATTCTTATGACAACTTACAATTTTAGTGGTCGATGAATTCATTTTTTATGTTAAATTTTAGCTACTTAAAACTTATGCTGTGTGGCGCTGATGTAAAATGGTTTCTATTTTTATGTGGGTTTTTCATTGGATCACAAGCATTTTGGATAGATGCACCTTGCTTTAAATGGGTTTAAACATTGCAGAGTAAGTGTGACACATTCTCAACTAAGTACCTACAAATTTGTGATTTTTGCACGATCACCACGTTCGAAATTACTCAAATATTTTTAAGTGCATATCGATGTTTGTTCCAGTAATATTACCTCTGCAAACATCATTAGCATTGTATACAGGCGGCTCTTATGTAATTTCATAAATCGAAAAGCCACTCATAAAAGAGCAAACAAATAGGAGCGCACTGTAGCGCATAGAAGATACTTGAAGATACATACTTACATATGAAAAATTGTCACACATTAATAATTTCATTATTTCAACAATCAACGTAAGCAATATTGAACGAAGAGAGTGAAGTGAAAGGATAATAAAAAGGACACTAGGACTGCTGGGTGGTAGGGGAGAAGGAGCAGAGATGGCAAGCTAGTACTTTATGGGCATTATAGGTACATACATATTTATTCTATGTACATATATAGATATGTATGTACGACTGTATGCAGAAAATTGATGTCACCGATTTTAGAAAATATTTTTTCATCAATGTTTTTTGACAAAGCCTTTATTAATCTAAGCTGTTACGCTTGAGTAACAAACAAACATAGAGGCATTGTACATTAGGGCGGTCGAAAACAAGTAAAGTAAAGGAATTTTAATGCTCTCGTTCCCTAGGATTGTTCTATACCGAAACAATTTTACCCCAGTTTTTTATTTTGAAATCAAAAAATATTTAGAGGTCGCTCAAAGCGCTCACAGCTATTTATGATGTATTTCATATGGGAAAAAACAAGTCTTCGTAGAAATGGTATGGAATTCTTGAAAATCAATATTTTTAATTTTTTTTATTTTTCTCTTCAGGAGCATTCCATTATTAACTATTTTTTATAACACCCCTAAAAACCTCAAAAGGATCTCTGATTGCATTTTTTGAAGTCTTTAGGGGTCGTATAAAAAATGGCTAAATAAATAATTGGGTATTATTGTGGGAGGTCTCCTGAAAAGAAACGAGTTTTCTCATCGAAAAATATTAACTTTCAAGAAGTTTTCCGATCGAAAAATATAAGTATATGGAAAACTTTGAGCGACCTATAAAAATTTTTTTATTTCAAAAAAAAACAGGGTTAAGTTTTTTTCGACATAGAACAGTCCCAGGGGGTAAGAGCTTTAAAATTGCGCCGCTCCTTCTTTTCGACCACCCTAGTATGCATATACATATGCATGTACATATGTATGTATGCATTTCGTAACTGCGTATCAATATCTTTCACGCTGCCACACAATGTTTGACTGTTCCTAATAGCTTGTCAAGCGCAGCCGCATTTGGAAGTCACACTCTTCAAATTCGTCACAGCTAATTTTCAGTGACAATAAAAAATATAACAAAAGTATAAAACTAAAAAAAAACACATTGTAGGCAACTTGCAACATACTACATACATACCACCATTCTTTTAATTAACTATAGCATTTTTTTCGCGCTCTCCTGCATTTGCTACAGCAAAGGTGCGTATCCCAGAGGGATCTTTCTAAATAAAAAACTGAACTTTTCATTAGTTATGCATGTAAAAAGGTAGGCTCATTAATCCCTTGCCAGTTGTTACTAGAAAAAAAAAATTGATAGTTTTCTAGGCTG